TATAGCGTTCCCAGCGTCAGCAGCGTACGCTAGCGTAACGCTAGCGCACGCTAGCGTAGCGAGGGCACGGGAAGCATAGGCAGCGTTCATACATTGCGGCAGCATAGCGTAGCGCTTCCAGCGTTTCACTAGCGTTTCGCTAGCGTTTGCCAGCGGCGGGCTAGAGAGTATAGAAGAGTAGGAGAGTACAAAATACTCGGCGGCGCTAGAGAGTATAGAAGAGTAGGAGAGTACAGAATACTCTCCTACTATCCCATAGTCTCTACTCCCTGCCGCTGCAAGCGCTAGCGAAACGCTAGTGAAACGCTCGTGAAACGCTGGGAGCGCTAGATCGATAGCTATGCATCCCGTGCCCTCGCTACGCTAGCGTACGCTAGCGTTACGCTAGCGTACGCTGGTGACGCTGGGAACGCTAGATCGATATCTATCCTTTCCCCGACACTGCCGCTGGCGTACGCTGGAAGCGCTACGCTGCCGCAAAGTATAAACGCAGCCTGAGAGTGTAGAGTGGATAACGAGCTGCTTCGATACTCCATCAATTTGTGAAACGGTGTAGCAGGACTTTGGCCCACACCACGACCTCTTCTACTGGTATACATCAGTATTCTCTGAAGAGCATGACATTTGTGTTACATTTCAGAATTACGATGTTATGATGAAATCTGTTTATGAGACGGTCTCCATATTAGAGGCAATGGATGGGACGAATGACATACTTGTGAAGGAATGTGAGCCAGAACGATGGGATCATTCGACAAAATGGGATACACGATCACTAGGCCTTTTCCGTGATGGTACGTCGCAAAATGCTTTGGCAAAAATGGTATGATCAATACTCAGAATTGGGTGAGGATTTAGAGTTCATTGCATGCTATTGCCAGCAAAGCGATATCTAGCCGCCTCTTTCTAAGAGTCAGCCCTGGCTTCCTAAGGCCCAGCGGCGGCAGGATACCGCTATGCTGGCATAAACGAAGTCCGGTCGCGCGTACGAGGAACTTCCAGGCACGAGCAAGAGAGCAGGAAGGTGGGGGGGGGGGTTGGAACTGGAGCCTCTCTGAGGGGAACCATTCGGCACTTCCTATGTTGTACCCTAATGTAGAATGTAGACTACCGTGAGATGATAAAGTCGCCCACCTTCCGGTCAGGAAGCACAATCGGGGGCTGCACGTAAGCGGTGGTATAGCCGGTTCTCACAAGGCAGCTCTTCGAATCGAGACAGTGGATTCATTCCCTTACTTTTCCACCTCTTACTGTTTCTTTTCGCCATCACATCTTCTACAGATGCCCCTCCGAATCAACTTCTTCAGAAATAACAAATACTTTCCTACAGTGCCTCATTTACTGTTCGCACGCGGGGCGATCGCGACATCGCGCGGATTCACCTACAGCAGAGTTATCTATCTGACTTTAGCGTAATTTCATTCAGAAGGAAATACCACAAAAGTGATACCAGACACAACATTAAATATTACTCGTGGATTGGTGCAGTCTACCTTGACAAGGGATACTGTGGACTGGATGCTGAACACCGTGAAGCTTACAAAACTAATAAATCAGCTCAATACTAATGTGAGTCAGTTTCAGTTCATGCAGTGTTTTCTATGAATCTGCTCTTGAGACGTATTGCGGTACGCTACGATCAGGTGGAACAGAAACATTCCATTTCATTTTGTTCTTTTCACAATCTTTTTTGAAATTTAACTAGACTCTACTCACAGTTAACAAGAACCTGATAGAGCGGTCCGCCACGGACACTACATCCGAGCGGGCTGCGCGTCAGTATAGACAGGAATACGCCTTCCCGCAGTTCGATGACGGCGTCCCTCGCGCACTCGTGATGCACCACAAGTTCTCAGAATCTGCGGCGACGTGAAAAGCGCGTGGACGGCAACGAACGGAAGTCTCCAAGAGGGAATCGACAGAAGAAACACGCTCGGGCAGGGACCCCGAAGCACTGGGACGCTTAACTCGTAGTGAGTGCAGGGTGGTCGCACTGACAGCACGCCCGGCTATGTGGTCGAAATTATGGCAGTTGTGTTAGTCGGCTCAAGATGATTAGTTGGCTGTTTAAAGGGATTTGGAGGCAATTGAATGCTCACGCCCGTCGAAGGCGGGTGAATAAAGGGACTAGACCTCCGAAGTGCGTAGGCAGCCGCCCATTCCCCAGTAGTGTCGCCAAGAACGACAATATGGGGAGTAGCGGTCCATACTGAGAGACCAACCCTCGATCTGTAATGCTGTCCTCAAAGACGCTCTGGATAAGCAACGACGAACCAACGACGTTTCACTTCCCAACTCGCGATGGCAGCAAGACACGGTGTTCAGTGCAACACGGCATGCCACTCTTTGAATATCTGGCGAACCCCTGCGCTCCACGAAGGAGACTCAGGAGACGCAGACATGTGTCTGCCGTTGAACTAAGCTTCCCGCGGGGACCTACCAGCTCCGCGCGAGACACAATGCGACGAGGAATGCGCCGCCGCTTGTGAGGACACTGCTACGTCCGACTTTGGCCGCCACACCGCCGCCAACCTTAATTTCCGGGGCTAATTGTGACCCGGTTGATCTACAAGCAGGGGCACACGTTGTGGGTCAGGCGTTTTTGGAGACAGGCGAGAGGTTGGCCATTGACGCGATGCCAAAGGTGAGACCGTGGACGATACAGATGGCGGCGACGGTTCAAGCACCGCGTTATTGTGCCGGAGACTGAGGCCGTGTAAAGTAGGGCCCACAGACAACCCTCGGTATCAGCAGCGGTGGGCGGCGCATGTATCTCCATGATGGAGCGGGCAGTGGCGAAGCGGATTTTTCTGAATTTTTTTTTCTTCATTGTGAGTCATTTACCACTTCTTCATTAAATTTTGAGCAGCATAACTCATCATTTTTGAACGCGGGCTCTGCTTAATACAACCGGAAGCCTGGTTATTAACAATGTCCTCCTTTCCAGAAGCACGCGGTCGACGAAATTCTATTGGCCTCTCTGGCGGCTACTGCCCAGCTCGAAATGCCCGGCAGATCTTCAACGTCCTGCCTGAAAGCAAACAGGGAAAGCGATCCCACCCCCTATTTCACAAGGTGTGTAACATTGATTTAGATCAACTTCTGGCACTGTTAGCCTTGACAAGGCATTTCACAAGTCTGAAATCTCGAAAAAAACCGCAACTACTGTTGGCTGACCTACAACTGGTCACCTAAAGTTTTTAGGCTCATCATGTGATGCAACGGTTAGAGATACCAACAATGGAAGCAAAAAATAGTGTTCGTTTGACGATGGCCGAATACGTTGAAATATTGTGGGGAGAAGGCCGGTATCACGACTTTTCCCAGTGCGCAACTTCTCCTACCAGTTAGAACTGTCATTAACGAGAACTGAGCGAGACTGTTGCTTTAAAGACAGCCCCGCGCTCGAGTAGTACATGGTCGTCCTTCCTTGTGCAAGTAGTACAGCCCCAAGCTAGAGACTATCCCACTCTCGCGACTCCACAGCGAGCGAGGAGCGAGGGCAGCTCAGTTGTTCTTTGTTGGGGCGGCGGGCATTAATCGGAATTGCATGTCCTTTTCGCTGACAGCGCTCATGCCCATGAATGATTCTGCTCTCCTTTATTACATTTTATTAATCAGGAGCACATACAGTCAACTCCAACACATCTCGCAAGTAAAACGCGTAAAAATCACGAGCGACCCAATTTTCGTGGTGCAAAAGCTCGACGCACTTCACTACACTAAAATATGCACGCTACCGTAACCCTAAATTCGGACGCCGGTTTTTTAAATGTTTCGTTTTCTTTTCA